ATACTTTTGAGGAGCCTTGTGTCTCCCTCATCCTTTGGATAGTCCTCCTTCGCAGTCAGCACTCCTCGTCCATACTTCCAAGGAACAACACCAGGAAAGAGCTTCATGGTGTTTTGCATCATCTCTTGGACCACTACCTCTCCTTTTTCTCTTTGCTCTAAGGGGATGATAATTCTGAAATTGGAGAAAGGTTTTGAGGTCCTTTTGCGTCTCACTTTGCGATCAGTCTAGACTTCATCAGATCGCGGAGAGATAAGAGTCGAAGGTAGAGCACATGGGATAATCTTCGTGTCATCTCTAAGGTTTAAACTCGACTTTCCCCCATCAGTAACAATCATACAGGAATTCTCCTTGACATGAACTTCAGGGTAGAAGACATTTTTTTTGATCTTGGAGAAGGAGATTCGCTGATTAGGAAAATCCACAATCGCACCCACAGTGGCAAGGAAGGTTGCACCAAGAACCAATGGTTTATTGTTATCCTTTTTCAACTCCATAATGTGAAAATCCACCGGAACCATACAATCTCCAACTTGAACACTACAAGAAAACACAGTTTTAACATTGGCAAAATTCGATGCTAAATCGATGCTAAAGTCCTTTAGCATCAACTTAGCGTCGAATGACAATTCGACGTTAATCTGTCGACGCTAAACCGACTTCGATGCTAATTCGACGCTAATTTAGCATCGATATAAGACGGATCCGATGCTAAATCGACGCTATTTTAGCATAGGAAAAATCGACGCTAAAACGATGCTATATTTCGATGCTAATTCGACGCTAAGTTAGNATCGAAATAGCATCGACTGTTTTCGACGCTAATTTAGCGTCGATTTAGCATCGGATCCGTCTTATGTCGATGCTAAATCGACGCTAAGATAACGTCATTTTAGCGTCGAATTAGCATCGAACTATAATATTTAAAAAAAAAAATATTTGTAAATGAAAATATTTTTAATAAATTTCAAAATTTTATAAAAATTAGAAAATTTGATATTTAAATGCGAAAATAAAAACAGAAATTGT